CAGGGCACACTGATGACGATGTTGAGTCAGGCTGCTGCAACGTCGGAGAGAAATGGAAATGAGACTGGGAATAATAGTGCCACTTAGTGGAGGTCTTACTGATCGCTACATTAGCTTGATGTCTTGGCGATGATCCGTATTAGGCGCCCTGCTGAGAGGATGTAACAACCACGCACACAGCCCTTCAACTCTGATATTCTCTTTACGTGCCCAATAACCCCAAACACAGAGTAGGTAGGTATTTAGTGGCAGAACAATGGGATAGTGGCATTCAACAAAACTCAGTAGATACGAATAAACTTTGCTGTTCCCAAACGCTGGAACAACTGATACACAAGATGTGTGTCCAGACGGAGTCATAACAAAGCCAAACTTTTGGACCCTCAGGATGGTACAATTTGGTCGGAGCTTGGAAAGGAGAGCAGAAGGTGAGTTTTTGCTGTGGGACCTCGGACTATCGATGATGTCGTTCACTCTCATCACTTTTCAATACTGACAGTTCATCGAAGCCAGCCGGCTGAGCGGAGCCAAAGATTTTGAAGAAAAGTATGTATCGTGGCATGGATCTCTTTTCCAGTCGACGCGGCTCGCTCGCTTTATTGCCTGCTAGACTGTTTAAGTTAGGGTGATAAGGAGACGAAGCACGGCTGACTCAATCATATGGCCGCCAAGGCAGGAAATTCGAATAACCAAATTACCACGACAAATATAGTTCGGATAGTACCAGACTAGATAAGCAAGCGCCCCCATCGTCAGAGACAAGCGCGTGACAGATGTGCGAAGCAGTGCATACTCAAGAAAGTTAGCAACAGTCGGTGAGACATTTACATAAATCACCATATGCAACCTCGATGTGTTGTCAAGTACCAAGAAAGGACAACACGATGGATGAGCAAACATGCTCTATGCCGTGGCTGGCGGAGTCCAGAGTTTTAGAGTTTTAGGCGAAGTTCTCAAAGTTCTAACCCTTGGATAAGGGAGTCTCCGAATCCATGCCCGTGTTGAGTGGAGACAGGACGGAGGTTGTGGAGTATGAAAAGCGGAGATTCGGCATTGGAAGCCAATGTAAGTATGTACAGTTACGGACGGGAGTAAGGTACCGAGGAAGAAGCTCAAAGTACCATGTTCGCATCTCGAATCTGCCTTGCACAAAAGAGCTTTCTTCATCGTCAAAGTGTCTGTCTGTCAAAGTCTGCGCGGGTGCAGATGACAAAGTGCAAAACTTTCTGGTGGGCTAGTGTGCTAGGAGCAGCCAACCTGCATGTTGCAGCCCAACCGCCGTTCGATCATTACCTGTGTTAGCGGTTTGTTAAGCACGACGTAGAAACCCTATTTGGAAGAAGAAAAAAAGGAAAAAGAAAAGAAACCCTCTTGAGAGATGAGACTGCTGGCCGAGTGACAGGGCCTGCTGCCTGCCTGCCTGCCTGCATGCACATGCATGCAATTCTGTTCACGCTGTCTCAAAGAACAACAATGGCGCGGGACTGCTGCATTGCATTCCCGGCACATCGCCGTCGAGCTGCCAAATGCTGTGTCGTAATTGGCACTGCACCAAATCTGGATGGATGGATCTTAACAGTGCGTCTACCGTAGTTAGGCCATCAATGGAAATTGACGTGATGTCATAACGCTAGGTAAGCTACTGTACGTACAACAAACCCTGAAGTAAGTTACGGAGTACGATGATGACGCGACACCAAAAAGGACAGCAAACGAGAATCAATGGCGTATTTGATATTGTGAGGAAACTTTTTCCCTACTGGTCCCACAGAGGCTGGACTCTGGAAATTTGAGGAATGGAATCGACAGGGACGAAAGCCAAAGGAATGGACTATAGCTTAATCTGGGAGGAAAGGAGAAGCTTGGTGTTGGTACTAGAAAGAATCCAGAAGCATACGGTAGTGGGTATAAGGGTCGTCCTCAGTGACGCCAGGTGGATGGCGCCGTTAAGCAAGCGCCAAGCCCTTGGAACAACCACCTACCAGGACACATAGGGCTGTATGGAGATGAGCTGAGTAGGTAGGTAAGTAGCTATCTATCTCTATCACTGGGAACTCTCTCCTGGGAGCGATTAATAATTACTCGTTTTACATACAAAGTAGGTAGATATCTATGATACCGAGACAAAAGGGGATCGATCAGGGTCTCGGGCTGTACTCCTGGTACGATGCTTCCACGAGATCAGGCATTTCAGTACACGAGTTCGGGAGTACCAATTCCGCCTCTGGTCAGTGTTTGAAACTTTACTATCCCATAACCTTCACCGCACTTTTATCATGACATAAAGGACGGAATTGCATCCGTATCACCGCACTATTCTGAAGTTAACACACGGAGCTTTTAGCCAACACAAATCATCAACACGGGAGTATAAGAGTCAGGCCCCCATTCAAGATTCACAAGCTCCCTGTACCAAAGTCTATCAAGCCCAACAAGGCAACTACTACTTCACTAGCGTGGCCTTTTCGGTCATGGGCAGGCGGCATGCGTGTACGGAGTACATACATTAGTTAGTATTTAATGTTTGCCGCGCTGCTGAGACCAAGAGACAGGTACCTTACCTTCCTGATCCTTTATACCAATTGAGTAAGCGCTATTGAGCTCCGTTGAGCACCCCACGGGGGCTTTTCTCTTTCAGGCATCCCCAAATCGGGGACTGGACTAACATCATGGAACCCTAGCAAAGGCACAACAGAGAGGGAAAAGAAAAAAGCCAAAAGCCAAAGATTCAGAACACGCAAAGAAACTTTTACAGACCAGGGAACCAGTCGGTACTACTGTAAATGCATCCATTTCTCGGCGAGACCTTATTACATAGCAGTGACTAAGACATCAGGGCCCACGGATCATGCTACAGAACATGGCCTCCACTGTGCCATCTCCATCATGGACAGCCAGAATCAAAAGTTATTATTAACCGGCAAACGTTAACGTTGAATACACCTATGTACTAATGTATGTACACGACGGACACGACCCCACTCCGCCACAACTGACAACTGTCAGTTACATGTCAATCTCAACGTCAACATCAGTCCCAGGGCCAGGGCATGCTCTGAGCGCTGCGATGTTGATCCTTCTGTCAGCCCTGCTTTGTATTGGCGTCTCGTAGACAATGACCTACTAGTGGTTGCATTATTATCGACATGACACAGAACGGGTCCAAGACACAAAAGCCCGTTATATTGCGCCACTGCTGGAATATGTATCCAGATCTGCTTCAGATCTACAGTACATCGCGCGCTGCGAGTTGAGTTACTAATCAATTAATCAACCAAAAATCGACCAGGGTCAGGTTCCCGGGCCACGACTGCTACTCAGGTAATCCCCAAATTCCTTGCAAGGCCGAGTCACGCCGGAGCTGGTCTCACGAGGGTCTGAAGCCTGAAGTTTGAAGTCTGGAGACTGGAGCCTGTTGATCTCCGGTGCGATTAGACTTCGGGCCCGTCCACTGGTTACTGTTACATACATATGTATATTCGCAGCCAGGTTCTTGTTACGGCGTAGCCTCCTTTTTGCCTTCGCTTTTTTGCTTTGTCTCCTATACTCTCCGTCCTGCCTTGGGCTGGGCCGATTTCCTTTCTGGACCCATGGTGCATCATGACACTCCCTCCCTTGTCTACACCCCAAGCCATGGGAAGCAAACCTTGACTAAACCAGAAAACCAAAATTGTCGACCATACACCCAATTCCCTTAGGCTAAGTAGGTAGTGAGTACGGCGTACACTTTACTTTGGCGACTTTTTGACTTTTTTTGGCCCCCCCCCTCCCCTACTTGACTTTGTGGTTGTCCCCTTTCTCGTCTATTGCTAGTTACCTATGTATGTTGCTCTTTGCCCTGACAATTGTCATCCAGACTCGGTCGCTCAGACACACGCCCCCGTGCCCTGGGTCGATCACGGCAGCGACTATGGCGTCGGCGTCCAAGGGGAGAAGAAAAAGTGGAATACACACGAAAAAGGTCAACCAACCTACGTAACGCGCGGTCAACGGCAAACGACAACAAGATATTATCGGCACCTCAAGGGTGGCGGTTTGGTGAGCTTGTCGCTCATGAAGCCGAGAAGAGGGAAAGCCATAATTCATAGAGTCAGCCATTGCGGTTGTGTGCTCTGGAGATATCTATAAGAGAAAGCCGTATACTCCGGTTTTCTGGGTTGATTTCCTCGACCAACCTGTTTCAATACATACTCAACCACATTCACCCGTACATAACACACACCTTACCAACTTACCTCTTGTTGCTCAGCTTTGATCGACGCTTGTAAGGTCGTGTTATTACATATTTAGAATTCAGTTTTACTGCTGCCCATCCGTCTCAGTTACCCTTTGTCAACAAGCTCCATCCATACACATATCAGCCACTCTTGCTACTCCCCCGTCATCAGTCACACAGACAGGACGAGAAAGGAAAAAGACAGACCCAGGACAGAGCAAGGACAGGGACATCTACCAGGATCAAATTGACAAGGGCCTCAACAACTCAAAGACCAGGACCGACATTACTCGGTCTCTGTTTGGATAGAGTGAAAAGCAACTATCTCTGCCGGTGTAAGACATTCGCCAACTCAAAATCCCCGAGACGGACGGATCGAACCCGTGTCAGGCCTACCACCTACATACAGCACAGGCGACAGACAGCACCACTACCATCCTAGAAGAGGATATCCCGCGCATTACAGTTCTTTGGAGCAAACCTTGAGGACGACATTGACCCCTGTCGTAATTCGATCCACTTGAGACGTTGTTCCAGATCTGGGACAGGCATTAATCTCATCATCTTCAGCCTGTCAACCCACACGAGCCACTCGCCCCCCCTCCCCTTCCTCCCATCCCTCCCCCATCACACTTCTCCACTTGTCTAAGTAACCTACTTTCCACAAGGGCAGCTCTATTTCCAGCTCCCTAGCCTGGAAGTCTCTCTTTGATACATGCACGACTCGCCTGCATCAACCCCATCCACTTTGCCTGCTTATATTAGACGTACAAGTACTACCATGATGTCCGTCGCTTCCCATGATTCTTCTCAGCTTCCGTCTTATTACTTCTTCCCTCTCCGCCCTGTCTCTTCCCAAAGGTCTCAGTCTCAGTCTCAGTCCCAGCCTCAGCCTCAGCAAGAAGTCCCATACCTACAGTACCCCAATATCAACAACACATACGCCCTTGACTCTTTCGACGTCAACAACATGGCCGCTGCAACTGCTAGTCACAGGCGCCCCCAACAAGACGACGCCAGTGTCGCGCAGGCTCTTGAGATTGCTCGTGAGAGCCCTGATGGCTCATCAGACCCTACTATTAGCACGATACTTGAGGCTGCTCTGAAGCGAATCTGGAAGAAGGTGGAAATGCATCCCAACTCATATGTCATGACTCGAGATGAGTTCGCTGTCTTCAACTTCTTTCAGGAACGCTTCATCGACAGCGATGCTGCAGTGAAAGCTCGAAAGCGATACTGGGACAACACTCATGCTTGATTGCCCACCAGATGTCGTTGCATAAGACGCCTTTGTCTTCCGCACCCTTTATTCTGCTCTTCTACTACATACGGAGGGCTTCTCTTGCGCATTGAGCGGCCTCATACAGCAATACGGCCGAACGATGATGAGAGACGATTTTCTTTCCCTTTCTTACCCAACGAAGCACGACACCAAAGAGCCAGGGTTACGCCTATACCCTTGCCCATCTGAATATCCACAGCGACAACCAGGCTTGGCCCAAAGCTGATTCAAACATCCGAATTTCCGACTCACTGCTTGTTGATACCTACTGCTCAGCGAAGTGAGTATATTAACAGGAAGCGAGTGCCCGTACCGAGGATTCAAGTCCACTGCAGAAGAGTGAGGCGCATGAGCCATGAGGGAAACGAGCATTTAGTCTGGCCCTTCTTCGCCTGGAACATTGGTTACCCACAGTGTCTTTCAGCATGACTCGTTAATGCATTCAAATTCTGCAAGCTAAGGATGCCATCAGCAATGTCAAGTCATGCCACCTTGAACAGACAAGACAATGAAGGGACAAGGCGAAGACCAGGCAAAGAATCACCTAAAGAAAAAAAAGTCCACTCCACTTACTGGCAGTCCTGTATGATCCGCCACAACGCTCCAAACCCTGGTTCCTGAGCCCGTTAAATGAGTGGGGCTTGGGAGCATTTATCGTTCACATGGCGCCCCGCTATTCTGTTCCTTGGGTTGTGGCTTCAATCTCCAATCTCCGAGCTTCTCTCTGATGGCTGGTGTCGTATGTATTCTACACATGCAACCTAGCCGTCCTGATATTTATTGCAGGGCTGTAGAGCCAGAACCTCGTCGGGTAGTGGCGAGTAGTGGCGCGGCTTTCAACCTCGGGCTTGTGTTTGTTTCAAGCTTCTTTCAGTCAACTTGACAAGCCCGCGTTGCATCGTCTCGAACCATGGAGGATACTTCTAGCATCCACTTTCGTCATCGCGAACGCTGTCCCTGACTCGATGGCACAGCCGACACTTGTTCAATTCTTGATATTTCGGTACATATTTTGCTCGGCATCGCCTCTAGGTTCTCTGGCCTTCGCCGAACTCTTTTCTCTGGGGCTGCTGGCAGTCTCCTGTATGTACGATGTCGCTGCACATACTTTTTTTCCCATTCTTTATTTATTTATCGTGCTGTACGATTGACTACCCTCTGGGTCATGTTGCCCCGGCGGTAGTCATTTTTATCTACTTGTATTTTTTATATTATTTTCTTTCGCCATCTGTTACCTCGCAAAATTCTTTTTACAATGGATATACCAGTAAGCGCATCTTGGCTATTTGTGTTTGGATTTATGTGTATATAGAACAGTTTAGGAGATTGTGCTCTTCAAGAGGGCCATGTTCTTAACTTTAATTTACCCAAGTTGAACTCGTACATTCAGTCATGTTAGTCAGTTAGTGCATCTGATTCAGTATGACGAACGGCCAAACCCAAGGCTTAAAAGTTTGCTTATTACCCATGGTTGGGGGAATAGAATTTCGAGGGTGTAATTTCAATCAGGGCAAATTGGCTCGGACAGGGATATGATTGATGAGAGGGAAGAAGATGACGCAGCATCAAACTCAAACACAGGACTTATGGCAGCACAAACGTTGAGAATTAATCGAGCTGGGTGTTGTGTCTTTGAGTTTGCCCTTCCATCACTAACCCTCGATAGCTCCTCACTAGCACTCCGGTGCAGCACACAGCATGTATACATACATACGTGGCCAGCAAGGAGTTTATATTATCTACTCGCCAGTCTGTAGACCAGTATGGATCTGCCAGAATACGTTATGCCAACCGGGCATGTCATCGACATGTCATCTCATTTAGACGCCGTCCAAAGGCCACGTATAGATCTCTGAAATATCGTGAAAGAACAAGTCTCGTTCCATGCGTCCAGGATACGGCCGAGTCTATCTGTAACGGCGGTAACGGCGGCCGATATCGCCCGTGATCTTGGTCATGCGTCTCTGCCGCATTTCGCGGTGTCGGGCCTGAACTTCCCACAATCGTGGCCATGACCAAACCTTGTGAATGCCGTGATCCACTGAGAAGTGCTCGAGAGGACAACCAGTAATGAGTTCTCTCATAAAGTATATACCTCAGGAAGGCTGTTGCAAGTGGAGACCTATCTTGGGCAAAGGTGTGGTGAATCTTGCGATATCTCCCGGGCTACTCTAGGCAAACGTTTATGAAGCTTAGACGCATCCCATGAGAACATATCATTATGAGGCGTTTCGCTTCAACAGTACCCAACCCCGCCATGGCCATATTCGACAAATCCCCTTGTGTGCTGCCTTGGGATACATGTTCCCTTATAACGAGGCGTTGGTTGATCTAGACTCCGGCTCGGACATATTGTACGAAATCATGAGGGATCAGCATCGGAGGCTGTCGCGAGGCCTTAAACTTGGGTTCACAAAGGGGAGCTGAGCGTTTGTACAACGCCGCTTCAATAACGCCGCGCCACAAGATTGCCCCTTTCAGAGTCCAGGCATCCAAAAACGGGTTGACGTTCTTGAAACAACGTCTTGGTGATATCACCGTCAGAGGACGGAGGGTGCACCAGGAGCTCCGGTGGTCTGTGAGACTGAATAAGGAACAGACCTAGTTCACCTTTTGAGCTACCAATGATTCTTTTTTCATCCTTTTATGGACATGATGGGCAGCGGCCGCTTGGCTGATTGCTTGAAGATGGATGTCGGAGAAAGGACGTTGCGGCGCTCGCGCCAGGAAAGTATATCTCCAGACCATTAGCAGGCCTGAGCCAGGCGAACCTAGTCCCAACTGTTGACCATCGTGATGCCCAGAATGGCGGACTTGACCTCCGGGGACCAACAGACAAAAGCATTCAGGTCAAGGTGATGTGCATCAAAAGCTTGGCTTCCCCAAACAATGTCAAGAAGCTAGGTAGCTGGGTGAGGAATTGAACCCTCCCCCCCCCCATTCCGTGCTCTATAAAGCGGTCTACTTTGACATTCAGCACATGGGTGAAGAAAATCAATAGCACGGTTGCCCCAGTGCGACTATTGTGTTTGTTGTCCGTCGGTTCCGGCACTAAAAGACACGTATTCCCGGTTTGAGGCTCGGGACAGACACTAAGCTCAAACGCTGAGATATCAAAACATCACCACCGACAGTCTCGATCCCACTACTGTATTTTATCTGAGGTTGTGCGTGCAACGCCTATTGAAGCGTAGCGTAGAATCGCGGCGGCTCAGAGAATCAGAACACCTACTAAGATAGGGGCGTCTCAAAGCCAAGCCCTGTGCCATTCTCGTTGGCGGTGAACCTTTTGGAGAGTCCGGCAAGTCGGTAAGTTGATGTTTAGAAACTCTAATACTCGGGGAGGCCTAAAGAGAGCATGACGTGTGTGTATCAAGCAAGCGGTCATGAAGGTGAAGTGAAAGATGGGGTTTCCAGAAGACTTCCGGAAGAGGCAATGCGTGTTGATTCAAAAGGGAAAGTCGGGCAGTGCGAAAAGCATGACGGCGGAAGCGAGACCGAGCAAAATGGAACAGCTCAACGCCAAGCAAGTCTTAGTTGCTTCACACCTCTCTCTCTCTCTCTCTCTCTCTCTCATCAAAGGGCGTTACTAAGTTAGTCGATGCCCATGTATCCAATACATCGAGTCCAATGGAGTGCGCCAAAAACCTACCTACCTACCTTAAGAGGCCTAGAGAAAGGGGTAATGTTGAATGTGGAAAGTCGTCTTCTCTTGAGCCGCGAGTTTAAGCCCGATAGGGCGGAGATGGGCATGAAATAACCCGAATCTGTGGGAGTAGGGACCCGAAAGGTTGGGCGAAGTCGTTACGTACGTATGCTGACAATATAGACGGCAGCTAAGTAGGTGTGAGATTTCTGGTAAGTGGCCGCGAACATGGTCAACAAACTCTGTGGGTGAGCCAGTGGCTCGGTACGTGGGAGCAACGCCTTTTAGTGAATCGAAGCGGTGAGCAGAAACACCGCCGCGCTACTAATTAGTAAATCTACCAAGGCGTGGCATTTCCAAGCAAGCTGTTGTTTCCTTGATACTTATCCGACTGATGAAGTTGATGAGGCTCTTTCTTGCTGTGAATCATCCATGACAGCGGATCTACCCAGGTATCCTGGTCCGCAAGGGGGACCTTGTCCAATAGCGAGCAGCGGTGGGTGTTGCATTGAGGGGAAGAATTACGAGGGATGGATGGATGGATGGATGTTATGGCGTATGGCGTAAAGGGATGTTGACCTGCTAAGTTATCCTGCCAACCTACGGATACCTAGGTAGTCAATTTGGCGCTACGTCCCACTGACCGCCCTTTTCCAATGAACGATGTCTTGCAGCAGCTGGCCTAGCTATGACATGCATCTTGGGCCTTCGTATTTCAGATTGTCGTGAATTATCGGGCTTCGTGATCCACTAGATAGATGGGTTCGTTCAGCCTTGCAGATCCATGGAACGCCATGCGGCCCCTCTAAAACACGGTGGGCAGCACTTCTTTTACATCTTGGGGTATGCATCCCCTGCCTGAATCAAGTACGAGCCTAACAAGTAACTCCAACGTCATGGACAATCTACCCGAGTTCACAAGAAGATATGTTGATGTTTTAGCCAGCTGAGCAACAGCAAGCCCCGCCAGTCAGCCTCAAGCTGAGTGAAACAGTGAAAGACACAATTCGGGCTAATATGCTAGACCCTGATTTCTGTAGATGGTTTAGAGGAGCAGCCAAGCCGGGAGGGCGGTGAAGGGTTCTTCGTGATGGATGCGCGCTTCGTTTTGTGATGTTGTGCTCATTCCATGGGCGTTTCTCGAGGCGGCTGGACGGAAAGGCAAAGACGCCACCGAGATTTGACAGCCAACGATGGTCTTGATGGCGTAAAGACCGATTGATGGGTCCCGGGAGGCCTGATACGCCTAGGTAGGGTATGTCGGACGGCAGTTGAACAGAGCAGGGAAGTGTCTCTTCAGTGGAGAGAGAAATTCAATTCAGTGCTCCAG